TTCTTTGAGTTTGCATACCAAAATGACTACACAGAGAAATTTAGAAAAGGAAAAGAAAACAATTTAGCTAATAAATGCATACCTTTTGGTACGAGTTCTCAAACTGACCATTTGGTTGTGATACTGTTGACATCGACATTGGTGATCTAATTTGTTCAGTGGATTTTGAACCCCGACCTCTGCCAGATGCAGAGTGTCCCCTGCCACGACCTTGCTTTTTCCTATTTACATCAACACCTGCCTTGATCTCTGTTGTCTCGGTATGTTTTAGCCTTCCATCAGCCACTACCTGATTCATAATCTTATCAAACATAATTATACATTAAGTCAGAAGAGTTTTAGTTAAAGCCGACAGATTATAGTTATAAATAAACCAAGATACCAAGGTATCTAAAAACACAACATTAATAAAAAAAAAAAGAAAATGAAATGTACACAGGATACACTGCATTCAGTAGAGAAAAAGTAATTTCAAAATTCCAAACAGCTACCTCAACATGTTCAAAAACAGCAGAGTTATCATTTTCTTGAACCTTTAGACGCTTCTGGGTTTTGGCTTGGATAAGAAACTCCCCTCCATTCTGTCATTAAAGTATAAATTAAATGTTACAGATTCCTGCATACAAAAACATGTTTCCCAAGAAAAACTAAACACATATATAAGTTGAACCTAAATCAAACCAAACAAGTCGGCTAATTATATAACCATTAAACAACATAATGATTCCCTGTCCCCACAATTCTTGAATCAGAACAACCATTCTTTCTCCTCATAAAAATACTAAACGCTTAATAGGTATATTGCGAAAGTGTTTTACCTCGTCATCAGAATCACTAGAAGTAGATGCCTCGGGCAACTCCTCAGTGGCTACTACAAATTTGGGAGCCGGAGAAGCAGAGGACCGAGCGGGCTGCTGCTGCTGCTGCTGTTGCTGCTGAACAGGCGCGGCAACAGCAACCGAGGAGGTCTTACCAACCATGCGGGCTTCCAGCTTGGCAATCTTGTCGGGCAAGGACTGGTCCGACTGATTCGAGGAATTGGATGAGAAATGCAACACCATGTCATCCGACATTGGTGCAACAAAACCTCGCTGCTCTAACAAACGTGTCGATCAGATCATTGAGGAATGTCGCAACTTCTTGGATACTGAAATGGATTGTTCTTTACCTTTCTGACAAAACCTAAACTGTGAACTGCTTCACTTCCTTTGCTTCCCGGAGTATAATTAGCGTTGGAAGTTGGTTTGACTAGAGACAGATGAGCAGAGAATTCATTAGATTGGTTTTGACGAGAGAGGATTAGGGTTTTTGCAAGGGAAGGTCAAAAGACGGGAGATTATTGGACGGCGGGCGAGGAAAATGAAGAAGCCGGCATTTGCCCCGGCAGGTGGAAAATATTTTGATGTGTTGAGGAATTAATTACTCGATAATACAGGGGTCTTTAAGTAATAACAGAAAACAAAGAGGATGTTTTGGCTAATTTACAAAGTTTTTTGGGGTTTAAATAATAATTAATTTTTTTAGTACAATATAATATATAAAACTTGCGTATCATAATTGTGTATAATCAAAATTAAGACGTGTAAATTTATATGTTTAACAAAAATATTTATAACCTATTAAATTTCTTATAATAATATTATAATTTAAATATTTTATTATAATATATTGATTTTGAAAATAAAAATAATTTCGAATGACACATATCTTAGTCACGTGGCATAGATATATAATTTGGTTATAACGTTATATTAAATAATTATATAATGTAAAATACTAATCATATTGTTAAACTATCGTCCATTGAAATACTGAAAAATATATGACTGAAAAATAAAAAAACAATTTACGTAAACAATAATAGTAATTTTTCTAGTAAGATTTTAAAACTAATGTGCAAATATTAACATATAAGTCGTACCTATAATTTTAGAGAATATAATAATTTCCTCAATTAGATTGTACTGATCGCGTTCAGTCCATTCGATATTTTCTTTTTTAAGTCAATCTCTACCGGTCTTAATCACGTTTCAACAATAAAGTAAGTTATTGATATTTTAACTATATAGTTCGTATTTAGTATATTGTTATTGTTAATTATCTATTTTTCATATTGTATCAAACAAAATACTTGATATGTAAGTACTTAAAGTGTTAGATTGTTGATGACGTTAAAGAGTAAATAATAATAAATGTTACGTACGGCTTAATTTATAGAGCTTCTAAATTTTCTAAATAAATGTTATATAATGATTTATGAACTGACTAGTTCGTAGGCTCTTAAATTTATAAATACATAATGATAACTCGACGTATTATTATAAAGCTTATGAGTGTTTGTTTAGTAAATATAAAATAAGTCGATTATCTTATAAGAAGCTTGTGAAATATGAGACTTAAGTATACTTAATATATATGTATTATATAATTAATAATTTTTTTTAAAGTTTCACTCAGAAATACCGTAACTTGTATACAAGTAAACGAATAATAATTTTTTAAATAAAAAATCAAACTTATATTAAAAAACTATAAAAAAAAGCATATAATATTATCTTTAAGTTTCTCGTATGTGCACAAATAATCATTGATATTGAGTCAAAATTTATCATGTAGGTTTTAATTAAATCATATAATCGAGTATGTCAGTGCAAATAAAGCCAACGAAAATAGGAATCACTCCCCAGTAATAATAATTACCTAATCATGTAGAAATAAGAGGTACCGAAGTCGATGGGTGCAGTCATTGTATACAGCCTGAAGCCCTGTACCAAAGTCGATTGGTGAAATCATCATATACGGTTTGAAACCCTAGTATCGACACTATTAATTATTTAGTGTGCAGTAATAAGAAGCATTGGCTTCAACATGCGAAGTCTTTGTATATGGTTTGAATTCCTAAAAACATATAAAGTCTTTGTGTACGGCTTGAATCATTAGATTTCACGAGTTAACTTTTTAAAAAATTATTTTGTAAATAAATCGATTGACATTAAATATAAAAAGTAAATTTTCTGCTATAAATATACCATCTTTTTTAGTTATAGCTATTTTTAGTCACAGACAAATGTACTTACGTCAAATAATGCATCACTAACATGATATATATACAGAGAAAACTAAGATATTTACCTTATTTGTTTATGAAATAAAATCTCATATAATAAATAACGAGATCCTTTGAAACTATAATAAAATCCATGGGATTATTTATACTTAATTTAACGATAAATGATAAAATCATCTTAAATATAATAAAGATGTACCTCATTAAATTATATTTAAAACTGAAATAATGTATTCTAAATTATACTAAAATTTATGGAACGTAAAATATATTCTTCAAATTAAATGTGAAAAGTTATTAAAAATTATATTTGACTTGTATAAAACGAGAATTGTGTCATTTACTAATTATTTGCATTAATATATTAAATACCTACTAAAATATCAGACACACACATACA